ATATATATATATGTAATATATATAAAAAATAGATGCATAAAAATATTGGGTATGTATATGTACACACACATACGTACATTAGAATATTTAACTGGAGTATTTTTAACAGCACTGTTCTGTAGTTGGTCTCCCTTCCTTATGTGCCTTCTTCTGTGAGTGTTAAAGACTTTTTATGCCCAGTTCCTCTCTGATCTCTCTCCCCACAGTCCTCCCTGCAAAAAGTCTTTGGAAGTTTGTGGTTTTGGGCACAAAAACAAATCCAACGAAACAAAACCCTTTGACATGAAATAATGAAACTTTGTCTCCCACAGGCAGGGCAGGAGTCCTTCCGCTCCATCACGAGGTCTTACTACAGAGGGGCAGCAGGGGCTTTACTAGTGTATGATATTACAAGGTGAGAATATGGAGGGAAGTAAAACTTGGATTAAATGTGTCTGTCTCTGTAGAACTGCACTGTGGCAGGTTATGATGTCTACGTTAGCATGGCTTTTTAAAATAGGTATTTGTCAGTTTAATGCTGTAACACTTACCTTAAGTGCTCTAAGTCAAAGTGTGATCCAGGTGCACGGTGCTCTCCTTAATTTTCTCTGGATACTGGCTGAGSGTGCATAAAATCATAAACTCTGACAATGAATGGCCATTATTTTGAGAAAAGGCCTTAAAATATTTAATGAATTCCTTCCTTATGAATTTATTAGAATGAAGTGTAATTTTTCTTTAGCCATTTGCAAACATTTCAGTCATGCTGTTCTGCAAAAGAGGGAAATGGGGGAGCATCAAAGTGATTGGGTAGAAATGCTGGAAAACATCTACGGATGCCAAGTTAGGAGAACACAGCGCTTGCACAGTTACTAAGTGACTAAGGCTTTCCTGCTCTCCTGAATAAAAAGCTATATATAATGTGTAAAACTCTGGGATTTTTTTTGATTAGACAATGGTCATTAGTTTAAGAAAATGTCCAGCTAATAACCTTCTGTAAGATTTGCTGTGCACAGTGAAGTCTGTAGAATGCTACCCTGTTACACCTTCCCTACTTGCAAAAACTGCTGCCAAGTGAATTATCCAGYGTCTTAACTCACAGAAAATGAATGTAAACTGCTTTTCGCCTATGTGTGAACACATCATTTGCTTGTTTGCAGGCTCAAGCATGTATTGTACTTTTAAAGTCTTGTTCAGTGGATTTTATATATGTATAAAATGCAGTATTTTATGGTTTAAAAAATAGTATTTTTTTTTACTGTATAGGGAATGTGTTTAGTTATTCTAAGCAATTTTTAAATACTTGATGCTCCTTGGTTACTAAATTCTCGTTTGCCTTTGTCCCTCTGACAAAGGAATAACTAGCTCTTACCCATGGAGCATGTGCCCTAATAACTGTATTGCTCAAGTAGAGACGTTAGCTAAACTGGAGCTTTCCTTCCTTTTATTTGTGTGTTGGTCCCTCTAAATTTTGCTCAGTAAGTTCCAGGAGGCAGAGGGAAAAAAATAGTTTATAAATAACCATGTAAACAGCTTTGTATTAAAAACAGTTATTGACAGACTATCAAAAATAATACTGCATACAGTGTTAWGATATTCTTTAGTCTTGATTACCTACTCTGAAGTATTGTCAAATGTGTGAACAGGTACCAGTGCACAAACTCGGTGAAATTTGGTTCTTCTGAGGTCTGTGGAGTCTGACYGATGAATTTTAATGGTCAGGAATTTAATCCTTTGCGTTCATTAATAAGTAATGGAATATAATCTAAGCRTAATCAAGGCTTAATATGAGTTTAAGGGCAAAAGATAGGGAAAATGATTTTTTTTGAAATGCAGCTTGTAACTTTCATTCTTGTCCTGTTTAGGAGGGACACTTTCAATCACCTGACAACTTGGTTAGAAGATGCTCGTCAGCATTCCAATTCCAACATGGTCATAATGCTTATTGGGAATAAAAGGTAAAACTCAATCATTATGARATATGTAGGCAGCAAAGCTTGATGGGGTGTTTGTTTGGGTTCTTCCTCTTGCATATTYGTACTTGAAAGAAGGAACCTAACTGTAAGGAGCTTTCAGTCACTGAACATAGTTCTACAGTGAAGCTAACACCTTTCCTTTTCAAGTGTGTGCAGTACACATTTACTTTACATTCTCTACAGTTTTCTGAASTATTTTTTTAAAAAAGATTGGTCATGAACGCATAAAACGGGSAATTATGTGAATTATTTTTTCTCACTATTTTTTAACCCCTTGAATCATCCTCCAAAAGCTCTTGGATGTCTCCCTTTTAAAGGGAGCCTCATGTTAGATATTGTTAACAATACCAAAAGATCAGTTCAGAGTCATACCAAAGAAAATGCTGTTACCTGAGATGTGACCCATATTACAAGATTTACTTCAGAAACACATTCCATTTGTTAAATCTAATGAGTTTGTGTGCTTTTTTGTTACATGAGATATTCATGATTTCTAAATCTGTTCTGTGTATTATGTTTTATCCATGGATTGGCAGGGGATGAATGCTATTTTTCTAATGATTACAAGGATTTTACCATTTTCTGGTCAATTCAGGTAACTGTTAGGTACATCGGCTGCTGAAAATTCAATTAAGATGTTTTGGAAACTGGTTATTATTTTTTTTTAATGATTTTTCTACTTGGTCTTTTTGTCACCCAAACATTTGGAAGGTCTCAGTGTCAATAGGGAAAAACTGTAGATGTTGAAGTTCTTTACAAAAACACATTACTGAATACACTAAACTTAGCTTTAGTTTATCTAGTGATAAATGCTAGCATCGTGTCTAGATTTTTTTTTTTCCTGGAATTGTAGGATTTTTTTTTTCCCTAGATATCAAAGACCATGATTTCAGAATTTAGTAACTTGTTAGTTAGGCTACACTTGCCTTTTCCTAATTGACCTCAACTTGTCTCCATCCCTCAGCAATTCTTGAAGGTAGAAATGCCAGCCGAAAAAAGTGTGTAGGCTTCTCCCTGGAAACCTAATATTAAAAGAGCAAGATCGTGTCTGTGCTGCTGCTGCGGAGCAGCCTGGTGGGAACGGCAGGCTGCTCTCACCCGTCTGCCCTGCTCGTCCCTTCTGCCTTTCCCTGCCTAAACCCCCCSGAAATACTGTCCTGTCATGTAAACATCAGAACATCAGTTATGAAGCCTCCACTCACRTAATCTGGAAATGGCCAAGAAACTTTTTTAGTAGAGTTAATAATAAGTAAAGTCTTTACAAATTATTATAAAAAAATGTAATTTCTTACTAAATGAGGCATACTCAGGTAAGACATCTGTGGCTGTTCCTGTGTCTGATACAGTCTTGATTTGACCATGACTGTATCTTGCTATACAYTCACTACTTGTGACTAGCCCAGTAGTTATCCAGTTGTAACTAAAGATTATTTAAACAATGAGTATACTTAGATTTTATATCCTAAACTAGAGGTTATGATGCTAGAGGAAGTAGCTTTTTTAAGATGATTCTTTAARAAGCATTGTTTCAAGCCTCCAAGAGGAAGACGAGGAGGAAATGCCTTTAACTGCGTTGCATTGTGCTGAAAGCATTTGGTAGGACATAGGAGCAGGACGTTTCACTGGAGCCTGGGGGAAACAAGGCCATGGAAACCAGCATGAGATTTTTGCAGGAATAAACTTTGTAAGAATCCAAAAAGTTTCTCTAATACTTTTGTCCTACTGACTCGTTACTAGATTTGAAAAACATTGGGAACTTGATTTGAAATATAGTAGTTGGTTTTTGAAAACAGTGGAAATATTGGTGGCAAAACATTACAAATACTATACTTAATCTTCTTTCCAGAACAAAACATAGCTATATTGCTCTAGTAAGACCAAATGCTTCGAATTATTGGAATGTGATGTATGGAGAGAGGAAGACAACTGTGGTTAGTAGAAGCAGTTAAAGCTCTTATACAGATATGCTAAAGTATCAGTAGAGGGTTTACACTGGGTAATCACTGCAGCTTTTGATGAAGCTGCTGTCCCTTAAATAGTTTATTTCTGTTTTAGTATTGAGATAATGCTGTACTGAACCAAGCCTTTAAATTAAAAGGTCTTATTGAGGGTATAGTAGTAGTAACCAATGAATAAARCATTGTTCAAATTTGCAAATAGTGTCAGGTACTTCAGGAGCACCAGAATGAATACCTGTTAACTTGGCTTAAGCCTAAACTGACATATGGAGAATTCTTGTTTATTGTGAACATCAGAATTGTTTTAAGAAGACTTCTCATATATCCTCAGCTCCAAATGCTCCATGTTCAAATGATTCTTGATTCTCTAATTCGTCTAAACTAGGAGGAAGTGATTAAAATAACAAAAATTGACTTGCTACAAAATAGCTGCTGCAGTAAGGTTTATTTTTGGGGTATATTTTTAATTGTGAGAATTGCAGCACTGAAGCCCATATGATACTTCTTACTGGCAGCCTAGCTGCAAAGTAAATCCATGCATTTGCATGCTGTTTAATTTGGAACTGTGCATCTGAGAACGTCCTTTCACATGCACAATTTAAATGCAGCATTGTTGTTTAGTACTTGCAATGTACTTGCAAAGAGGGAAGCAGAGAAACTGTTGCTAAGGAAGATTTAATAAGTAAAATGCTTATTTGTAGTTCCCAGAAGTGAATTTGTCTTTAATTATCCAGGTCAAAAGCTTTTTTTTTCCTTTTTTTTTTTTTTTTTTTTTTTTTTTTTTTTTTTTTTCATATAATATTTAACTTTCATCTAGACTGCTTGGAAAGCAGGAAACAAAAAATTGTGCAGCAATCCCCTAATGTTCCTCTGCTGCTAAAGGGCCAGGTCAGGCCTGCAGTGTCAAAACCTAAATTCTGGCTTGTCGGGGGGAACAGATAATATAGTTTAAAATACCCTGTTTTGTTTTTCTTTTTTTTTCTTGTTTTAATCAGAACAGAAACCCTAGTCTTTTTTTTTTTTTTTTTTTTTTTTATCAGAACAGAAATCAACTTCATGAAAATGGTTTTTTCAGTGATTAGGGGAAAAAAAGGAGCTAGTTCTACTTTTTTTTTTTGTAAAAGATTTCTTAATGGTATTAAAAGCTGCTATCAATTCAGCTTTTGCAGTGTGGGTTACTATGTAACATTTTACTAAAAGGAGTGATAGGTATCTCAAAATGTGTTTTCTAAAGTTAGTATTGAAGGAAGAACTAGATGAGCATACATGCATGCAGTTGAAAGCCCTTTCACTGAAATCTGTGGTAAGATCTATGTCAGTTGGGGGTTGATGCCTTAAAGAAATGAGATTCCGTGGCTTTGTATAACAGTGCATATAGTTCCTGTGCTGCAAGTGCAATGTTCCTAGTAGTTCTGCTTGATGGAGAGACTTTAGTCGATATGAATATGTACGTAAGACCTAATGGGGGAACGTAGGCTAATGAGCATGTCTCTGAAGAATGATATTTATGATATTTACACGTGCTGGACCATACAAGGAACTTGGGTTGTTTGTTTTCCATCTTAGTGATTTAGAATCTAGACGAGAAGTCAAGAAGGAAGAAGGTGAAGCATTTGCACGAGAGCACGGGCTCATCTTTATGGAGACATCTGCCAAAACGGCTTCTAACGTAGAAGAGGTAACTTCATACTGAGTTGTTTATTTCTTTTATTTGTTAAGTAAAAATAATTGTTTTGAATTGCAGTCTGTGACTTGTGCGGGCTCTATTCCTCTAGGTTTGAGATTCTTTAACTTTACTCCATAACTTTACATTATTATATAGAAAGCATGTATCTGTATCTGATTGCATGGCACTAATCAGATTGCTGAGCCTCTAGTAGCTTGTTTAATATTTATTCTTTTAAAAATATTTTGATCAAGGAAATTAGGGTACATCTGACTGTCTTGGAGTCTGAAAGATAAAACTGGAATAGGTTATTGTCCAAAGCAAGAGGAATACTTTGTATCCTTAACAGATGTCAGTCTAACCTGTTCTTAAAGACCTCTTAATATTTCACAGCCTTTCCAGACAATCTAATGTAATTTGGTATCCTTTAWTGTAAGGYAATCACCATCTTTCCCCTCAAATATCTAGAAGAAATCTTCCTTGCTGCAGCTCACCTATGCAGTTTCTTGCTGTGTCCTCTATGGACCTGGGGAAGAGATCATTCTCTTTCTTGTGTGCTTTGTATTTGAATAATGTAATCTTTTTCATTCTTTTCTGTTTTAAAACAACATTTACTCTCCATTTTGTTTATTGCTGATGTTTGTGGACATCTAACATTCTTGCATATCTCACTTAAATTTATCCCCCACCRTTCCCAAAGGACAGTAAACTGAGGTATTAATGCTGTGTAGAGTAGAAAGATCACTCATCTTAGAGCCATGCTCGTTTTGCACCACCTGGGTTATTCATCTGTTGTGCAAGAGCATGACATTGTTCAACTTCTCATGCTGTGTAGTTCATCCTTCCTTTTCCCTAAAATTGCCTAAGTGCAAGATAAACACATCAATAATGGGGTTTATACGATTCTTCCACTCATTTGAGGTATTTGGATCAAATCAACCCTACAGTAGTAAGTGTGCTTTTTGCTCTTCTGGTTTGGTTTAGTTTTGTTTTACAGAATTGTTTTCATGAAGTTTCTAAGTTCCTAGTGATAACTCTCCATCTTTGCTGCTATAGATTGGCTTCTTAAGTTCGTAGTGTTGTGATTGCTATGGAATTTACATCCTTGAGGGAAAAAGAAACTATGGAAACTACAGAAACTACTGTAAAGAAACTACTACTGCTACAACAATTGACTCAATTTTGATAATTTGTGAAAGCGAGGCGCCGTTAGCTTCATAGAGGCTACTGCATTATTCTCTGGTCCAACATTATCCAACCACACTCCACACCTTCTGAATAGCTACTTTAGTGAGGGAATCCCATTAATTACCAATTATTTCTGTGTTATTAGTTTGGGATTGCTTCCTGCCTGAGCTTTCCGCAGCAGTCTAGATGCAGATACAGCCTGCGCTTCCTGATTTCCTCTGCTTTGCAGCCACAGTGAAGGGAGCTGCAGCAACAGGGCCYGTTCTCGCATGGTCCTTGTACGCTGAGCACCAAGGTGGCTACCCGGTGCATTTGGGGGAGCCTGTGGCCTTGCAAACCCTTGGTGCTGGATGAAGCAAGAGAGCAGGTCTGCACCATCAGGCATCGGACGTAAAGCTCCTGTGGTCCTCGTCAGTGCCGTTAGGTTAAAGGCTGCTCGCGTTTCGTGCACATGTGTTGCTGGAACAAAGCACGTGGGCAGCTGCGCCCTGTGGTGTGCCAGAAGAAGGTAAATGGCCAGGAGAGACGTTTTGGTTATGGATTTTTTCATCTCTCTAGTTGAAAATGCTCTGTTTCCCTGTGGTGAGAGACAGTGCAAGTCTGGAGACGAGGTGTGGTCAGTCCAACACCATTTTCTGACCCAGCTTTGTTGAATTACTTCAATTTGTGTCATAAGCATGTACTGTAGGTGTTTCAGCGTAATGGTAGAAAGTCTGTAACTGCTTCTTCAGAGCCAGCCCACTTTGGTCATCAAGGCTTTTGTTTGGTTTAGCCGTCTCCTTTGTTGAAATCACTTCTCTCATGTTTTCTACCACTGACTATACTCAGACAAGGTAGTAGATTGTCCTGTATCGTGCTTGGATCCTCAGATGACATGCAAATATTAACGGGAATGCTTAGCAGTTGTGAACATCCTGCTGGCTGTTCATCTCGTCCTCAGCCGCTCGGAAGCRTTTGCCCTGTTTGCACAACAGGTCATTGGTGGTTGGGGGCAGGCACTAAGTGTGAACTCTCCACAGCTTCCTTGGAGGTTTCCAAGACTGCAGCGTAGCCACGGGCTTAAGTCATCRTGCTTAGTGTGGAATGTAGTGGGGTGAGAAGAGCTCCTCCAGCATTAGGAAGATACAAGGATTAATCACCTTTTTTCTTTAAGGTACAGATTTCCCTAGCTGCTGTCCCAAGACTAGTCTGACCGGCATCCTTGGCTGCGCTGTATTTGTCAAAGCAGCTTTTTCTTTTTCCTCGAGTTCCGTTTAGCCTTCGTCTGAAGCCACTACCATGAGTAACCAGCTAGCAAAACATAAGTGATTTTGTGCTTATTTTAATCAGAATGCAGTTACTTTTCTACCTTGCATTAAAATTACACATAGTATTTGAGATATTTATTCCCTCATTTACAAGAGGAGATTAACTTTATATCATATCTGGGTTTTTTTGGGGGGGGGGATCTTTTTGGGTGGTGGTAATTCAGCATCAGTGTATGACTGTGAATTATAGCCTTGTCAGAAGGATG